TCCCATATTTTCTTTTTTTGAAACCTTATCTCTCTCTTTCTCTTTTCTTTATCCTTCTCTCTTTCTCTCTCTCTCTCTCTCTCTCTCTCTTTCTCTCTCTCTTCCTCTCTCTCTTTTCCAGCTTTCTTCCATGAGCTCTTCTCCTCATTCCTCTTCAAACCTTCAAATCATGCTCAAAAATAATATTTTTGGAATCTCTGGAGCTCAAGGAAACTAACAATGGCCTTGCATTGTGCAAGGTTCAACCATTGAAGCCGAGAGCTTGAGCTCTTAATCTCGAACCCAAGTGATGTTTCTGTCACTATGTTGTGTTCTTGAGCTTTAAATCTTGTTGTGTTGCAAATTTTGTGGTTTAATTTGAGGGCTTAATTCCTTGCATGCATCCCGTTCTTTTTCCAGATTTTGACAAAGGAAAACGAACGAACTCCAACAAGTTTGAGGTTTGGTGAAATTTCCTGCATTCACCTGGGTAAGTTCTCAATCCTATTATTATAGGTTCTAACATATAAATCGTGTTTTTGTTGATGCATGCATGCAAGGTTCTATGCGTTTTGAAGTATGGTTCCTAGCCTACCATATTTTCCGGCATGTTGTAGGTTCTTCCAAACTAAACCCAACGAAATCTTGTTATTGTGGTTGAGTATAAAGGTGTAGGACGACTTCCCACTATCCCTAGGCCACGGGTTGAGCTTACATGCCCAAATCCACTTCAAAACCGATGAAAACGGAGAACTCGAACTCGGGCTATTACTTTCAGACCATTTTCTGACGACCTCCGACCAACTTTTGATCTTGAAATGGTATAATCTTATTCCTCTCGTCCTAAGCTTTAGTTTGATATATTATGGGCAAAATTTGGTTGTGAAATAGCTTCGAATGGAGCATTTGAATTCCTCCCTAGATTTTCAGACAAAAAACTGCAACAAACTAGATGAAGTAGAAAAAGAAAAAAAAAACTGGAACTGGAACTGGCCTAAACCCACAACCCAGATCTGTGGGTTAGATCCAACCCGGATCCTTTTCTGGAATTAGAATGGAATATTCTTTTGGACTATTTTGTTAGCTCTCAGTTAACTTTAACATTATATTCTTTCTGAGGAGAGAATATTCCGTTAAAGTTAACTGTTGACAGTTAGTTGACCAAAGTTGGCTTTTTTGAAAAATTGCCTGGGACCCTTCCTAGAGTTTTTCGACGCACTGATTCCGTTTCCACACTCTATTTTTCCAAATTCAATACCAATTATCTCCAAATTCCATTTTTGAGCAAACTAAAGCGAAACTAGGTGTTGTGCATTAATTATTATTAGTTTAATGATTAGTATAGTAATTTCCCATATAGGAGAGGACCACCCAGAGAAGTATCGTGAGCAGAATAGGTTGGTCGGCTACGACCCTGCGACATACCAGTGAGTGGGTCTTTTGGTTTTAAATATATATAAATATATATATGTGATTTTCTGCATAACTGTTAGATCTTCTATTAGATTTTTTACACTTTATATTTTTATTAACTGCGAGTATAAAATCCGGCATGGCATCTTTATTCATTATATCTGCTCATTGTTACATGTGTGCACAGTGTTTATTAGTTAGTTGTACTGTCCTGGGCCAAGGACTAGCTTCACAGGTATGTTCACATGCACCATTTACGTTCGATTTGGATCCAGAGTTAGGTGCCAACCTGTCCCTAGGTTTGTTGTTTGGACTCATATGTGATGCACGTAGCGCCAACTTCATGTAATGTAGTACTAGAATGTAAAACGTACGCCCAGCCTATTCATGTAGGTACTTTCTGTATGACTTGTGTGCCTACATAGATAATGAGTAGTGATTTTCATAGTAGTGAATTTTTTATGATTTTCATAACTCTGAGTTTATGATAGCTATTTGAGTTTTGATGATGAGATATTTCGTAGTAGCACCCTACTACCTATTATTATATTATTACTTTGGAAAATCATGTACTTGTTTTACAGCGAGGGGTTACACGTTTTCAAAAAGTTTCAGAAAACTTTATTTTATAGGCCCACTCACTCTTATTTTTCGCCCCTCCAGGACATGGAGATTGAGCTCGTGGGAGTATGAGGTTTCAGTGGAAGTAGCTGACTATTCTTCCGTCAAAGTAGGTTGCTTATGTGTTAAATAATCATCCTTTATGGATGAGACAACTTTTATTTTTCTGCACTATGCTCTGAACTTCACGTTTTGTAATAAGGGTTACTACCCAATCACATTGTGGACTTTGGTTTATTTATTTAAAGTTTAAATTTAACCTCACTTTTATAGATCAACCTTACTTTATGGCTTTGTCACCCTCCGAGTGTCGGCCAACACATCACAATTCAGATGGACACGTGGACATTATGGGTCGGGATGTGTCAAAATATGTTATAAATGGATTAAAGAACAAGAAAAAAGAATGTACCCAATGAGATTACAATTGTGTTCAAAGCAATACAATAGCCATTTGTTATGATTTTGCAATATGGTGGTCATGGAGAAAAAAAGTTTAAAAGTTTTTTGGCGAAATCTAAATTTGAGCATACATATACAATATAATAATGTTGACTTTGAATTTACACAGAAATTTGAGTGAGAAAATTATGAGATTTTCACTTACAAATGTTATTCAACATTTTGAAGGTGATTATGTGGAAAAATTATAAATTGAAATTTGTTGTAAAAAAAAATAAAAAAGATGACATGGAATTATGTTATTAGTAAAATGTTGAGGTGTACAAAGTTAAGGGACTTTGATAAAAAACTGAAAACTTTTCAGTCTATGAACATTTGTGACTAGGATTGGATCCTAATTTTTCTTTTAATTAAACTACCATTGAATGTTTTCAAATCTAGCATTAAATATGAATCAATTATTGCAACTGAGCTACAAGTCTACAGGCAAAAAAATGGCCTAATTGCCAAAAAAACGCATTTTTAACTTATGGCTGGGCTATAATTCAATGGAACCCACCAGACCATTATTTGGCCAAAGAGGCATTAGACTAAGCCAAATGTAGCCCCTTCTTAAGCCATCTCCAACTGGACCGACCAAAGGACTATAGGCCAAAACATGACCCTTTTTGACACAAAACCCATCTCCAATAAGGGCTGGGCCAAAACTCAACCAAATGCCCAACAGGCTGGGCAAACATAACTAGCCAGCTAGCCCGAAAAGTTGGGCCCAGCTGTTAGTAACCCACTTGCTCAAGCTGACATCAGCTAGTCGTTGGATTTTGAATTTTTTTTAAGACAAATTTTGAAAAGAAAAATTAAAAATTCTAATATTTTTCCTATAAATACCTAGGCCATTTCTACATCATTTCTCACATCCTTTTCACCCTTCCATTGTCACATCTCGGCCCGGGCCCCCACCACAGCTCGAGCTCGACTCCATCATAGCACGATATTGTCCGTTTTAGGCCCTTACCCCACACCCTCATGGTTTTTTTTTTTTTTTTTTTTTGTTTTTTTGGGAACTCACACGACAACTTCTCAATGGGTCACCCATCTTGGGATTGCTTTCACTCGAACTTGCTTAACTTCGGAGTTCTGATGGAACTCGAAGCCTATGAGTCCCCAAAAGGCCTCATGCTAGGTAGAGATGGGAATATACATATAAGGCTTATAGGATCCACCCCCCCTTAGAGGCCCGATGTCCTCGTCGACACACTTCTGGCCAGGGATTGACTCTGATACCAAATTGTCACATCCTGGGCTCGACTCCACCATAGCACGATATTGTCTACTTTGGGCCCCTACCACATCCTCACGGTTTTGTTTCTAGGAAATCACATGAGAATTTCTCAGTGGGTCACCCATCTTGGGATTGCTCTCGCGCAAACTCGTTTAACTTTGGAGTTTCGATGAAACCCGAAGCCCATGAGTCCCTAAAAGGTCTCGTGCTAGGTAGAGATGAGAATATAATTATAAAACTTACATGATCCATTCCCCTGGGCGATGTGGAATCTTTATTTCAATTCTTCACATTCTATTTAACTCAAATACGCTATTAATATTTAAGTTGTACTTTTAATATTTAAGGTGTTGTATTTCAATGAAGTTGTATTAAAATTAAAATATTTAATAACATGAAACCTTATGTCCGAAAACCTTATTTTAATATGTTAGTTTAATTCAATTAACTAATAAAATTAAAGAACAAACTTTAAATAATAAATTATTAAGGCGGCTAAAAAATAACTCATTTCATTTGGAGATGGTATATAAATATGTCCTAACACTATGTATTAAAAAATAATTTCTTTGCAGAACTATAAGGCTATCTTCAATGAAAGGCTAAAAGGACATAGGTCATTCTTTAGCCCAATTTGTTAAAAACCCAACTCCAATTGAGGGCTGGGCAATAAACATGTGGAGCCCACCTGGCCAATTAATAGCTGAATGACCATCGGGCTGGCTAACTTCAGCCCCCCTTCCAACCCGTTTCCTGGGCCCAGCTGCCGAAGAATGCATGTGTGTTTAGAATCCATGGCACGGCAAATTGGCATTAGGAAATTAATTTTTTAGTATGTATTTCCGAAGCATATCCATTTGTATGACTCAAGAGGCTGACTGCATGTTGCCATATGCTTGCTTTGCTCCAAATGAATTAAACATCAACGCAAGCAGGTCATTTCGTTTCATTTGGATGCTTCTCCTAATTAAATAATTATACCTCGACACGTTTCACTAAAAAATTCTATTTAAAAAATTATCAAAATTGCATAAAGATAAGAAATATAAAATCAAAGACCACAATTATTTTTTAAACAAATCATATTGTTTTTTGACTTATCAAGCTTTAACCATCTTCATTAAAAATGATCTTCAAATAAAATCAAAGACCACAATTAAGTGCATCAACGTAAAGTACGATTTCTCGCGAAATATTGTGTAAAAGACAAAACAAACAGGTGTCAAATTTTTATCGGTGGGAAACACCAGCTCAGCGTATGCTTCCGGAATTACCCCTCTAATCTCTATCGTTTTCCCAAAACCTCGCTCCTCTTTCTAAATTCTACCGGTGGAAGCTTTTGCGAGAGGGAGAGGGGGAAAGAAAATGCCAATAGAAATGCCGAAAGGGGTACCGTTCTCGGTGGATACATGGAGTCCAAGTTCAAAGAGGAAGAGGCACCATTTCTTAACCCATGCCCACAAGGACCACTCCCTCGGCATCTCTGCCCACTCCTCTTACCCAATCTACTCCACCCGCCTCACCCAAACCCTCCTCCTCCGCTTCTTCCCCAACGTCTCTCTTCAAACCTCATCATTTCTCTCTCTCTCTCTCTCTCTGTTTTCTTCTATCCATCTATCTAGGTTTTCATTTTTAATTATTTTTGCCTTCTGCCTTTTGCAGCTTGATGAATCTTTATTTGTGAGCTTTGAGGTTGGGCAATCCGTGGCCATTGACGACCCTGATGGCCTCTTCACGGTTACGGCCTTGGACGCCAATCACTGTCCTGGTAGCTTTTCACTATTTCTTCACCTATATATTCCATTGGTTTTCAGATCAATTGTAGTTGCATATTACTCACGGTTGTTTAATTTTGTGTCCAAATTGTTTTGTTTCATGTTTTAATTGTGACATTTAAGCTTCAGTTAAATGATCTCTTCAAAGTTCAAATTATTTGTCGCTCATTGTGCCAAGGAAGCGAATTGAAGTCGTTGAAATGTTCTGAACGAGAATATCCTTTTAACCGATGATTTCTTATGTGAATCTATCTGTTTAAAGGATAAAATCTCGTGCCTGTGTTTGGATGTAATCTGTTTTGAATATGGGCGGGGATCGGATAGGGGTTTTTTTCGGTGGTGGGGGTTGCTTCTAATTACCTCACACAATTTATAGTTGACTTGAGGATAGCTTTATTGACAGACAATACCCTGTTTGATGTGGGTTGTGTGAACTTCAGGAGCCGTAATGTTCTTGTTCGAAGGCAAGTTCGGTAATATTCTCCACACCGGGGATTGCAGACTCACACCTGAGTGTCTGCAAAGTCTACCAGCCAAGTACCTTGGGGAGAAAGGACACAAGCCTAGGTGTCAACTTGATTATGTATTTCTAGACTGCACATTTGGAAAATTCACTCAAAAAATCCCCAGCAAGGAGTCAGCAATTCAGCAGGTACTCTTGAATGCCAAAGATCAGTCTATTCAAGATTCCAGCCTAGACATTTAATTACAGCCTAGACATTTAATTACTTATTTTCATGTTTATCTGATTTTGTTGCATAGGTCAAAACTATACCTGGAATGGTACATATGTGTAAGCATTTTTTGTGAAAAAATCTAGTTTCCGACGATGCAACCTTTTTATGCTTGTACCAACTTTGGCCTAGAGAGTGGGAGAGTTTGCTCTCATAAATCGTAGTTAATCAATTTAGCCTATGAAAAAAAAGATTAGGTAATCAATCAAAGTCACACAAGTTTTCTACAAACTTTGTCTAGAAATTAGAAAAGGCCAGTTGTGGCTGAGGTGATTGACAAAATCGACTTGATCATATTTGGAATACGTGTAAGGTTGACGTATTGACCCAAATCGACCCTTTAGAGGTCTCCTGTACAGAGTTTACACAGTTCCATGTGAACAACCTCGACCATATAGGTGCATACACACATAAGCTTTTGAGTAGCTTAATCCACTTTAAAAATATCCCATTCAAAGTAAGGCAACACTGAGGAAAATAAAAGTAAAAGACTACAGTTAGACTTACATTCATTGTGTAAAGGACTACAATTTCATGCATGAGCTAAGTTTGAATCTTGAATAAACAACGACAACAACAACAACAAAGCCTTATCCCACTAAATGGGGCCTGCTGGATGAATCCTAGAACGCCATTGCACTCGGTTTTGTGCCACGTCTTCCATTAGTTTGAATCTTTAATGTGATAAATAAACTCATCCAAGTGCCAAGCACTATATAATTCAGAGAATTTGTAACGACTCATCTAATTAATGAATTCACATGAATTTTAGGCCTATTATCTTAGAATCTTATATTCATTGGGTCTGAGTCCCTCCATGTCCTTAATCAATGTGTTAGTTTCGTTTGTCCTGAATTGTGTCTTTGAGAATTTCGAGAGAATCAACTTGGGTCCTATCCATAATCCTTATAAAAGTAACTACTTTGTATTATTGAACGTTAATCAAAAGATTCAAAACTGAAGGATACTAAAGACTAAACTTCTTTTGAGCTTCAGCTGGAGTGTGTACGTGTGTGGTCAGCCAGAATGAGTCCAGTGCAGCCTGATGCTGATTTTTTCCTAATCAACTCTGGGTTGATTGTAAGAAACTATTGATGTGTGTTTGGATTTTCTCCCTTAACACTTTTTTTTGGATTTTCTCCCTTAACACTTTTTTCTCACCAACCGCTCTTAAAAATTTCAGTACATCCTCATTCCTAATCCACACTTTTTCTTGTTGATCCAAGACATGTGCTCCAACTCTTCTCGTTCATGGCACATATGCTTCAGGGATCATTCGGTTTTGTTGGACTATCCACAAGGCACAAGATTTGTCGAGTAGCTTGTCTTTTTCAGTCAATTCTTTTGGTATTGAAAAGGGTTCTAAATATCAAGTTTTAACATAAAGGCTGTGGTCATGAATGAAATGCCTAAAAAATATTTAAAGGCAAAACAAGTTTCTCTTGAACCTCTCTTAAGGCTTTCTTCTTTTCTCACAATGCATAGAACATCGTGCGTGCTCACACACACATGCTCACACAAGTTTTCTCAAATCTCCAAAGGCTTTAAGATAGGAATGAAAGTTGTTGAAATTGTAGGACACTGAGAAACCAAAATCTTAATATATATAAAATACTAATTAGAAAAGTAAAAATAATGTTTTAACTCATTAGACCAATCCAAATTTTGTATGAGGGACAAGAAAAAGGAAACGTTTTAGTAAAATTGGGTTCAAATGGCAATTTTGCAGCTGAAGCAAAATTTTCATAGTACTATCTTAAGCTATGATCTGCAGCTGCTACACAAATTTGGTTAGACTTCATACCTTCCAATAAAACAGCTTTGCTCCCAAATAAAATATGCTAAAGCGGTAGTAATAAACCTTCATTACTTGTATAATTTGTATGTTAATAACCTAAATCTTTAGAATGAAACTTGAACCATTTTAGTTCTTCACTGCAGTTCGTGTCTTAAACTCCAAAATATTTCTTTCTTGTATGGTGAAGCAGTAGACTGCAACATGCTAGAATGTTAAATCTGTTTGGATATGGAATGTGCCAACACAAAAAACAGGGAATCTATACTTTGGCCTACCAAAAACTCTCTATGGCTGATTACCTCTGACCGTCTTTAGGACATTAAATTTTTCAAGCGATGCTCTATTGAAGTAACCTACCATATTTCTGAAGGAAGATTTGTGAAAAACAAGTTCATTTGAGCAACATCAACAACATGCAATTAACAATTAAAAGGCGGAATCATGTTTATATGCACTCAAAAACAAAACTTAACCCATGAACTTCAAAACCTAGTAGATAGGTGAACCAAGACTCAACTCAAAACAAAGTGAGTTGAGAAATCAATACCTTTGTAGATTCCTCTTTGCATAAGCAAAGGCTAATCACCCAAAGAGAGGGTCTTCATTCCTTGCATCTTAGATCCATGGATTTGGATGGATGAAAAGGTTTCTCCAAGTTCCCAAAATTGAGAACCTCTAAGTCTCCACACCAAGGCATATTGTAGAAGAAATAAGTGACCTTGAGGAAGTAAGATTGCTAGATGTTTTCCTCATGGTGGCCGGCCATTTCTAGAGAGAAAAGAGAGTTTGTGTTCTCATCCTTACTCCTTAGAAAACCCTTAGGATGAAATGGCTATAAAGATGTCTTTATACCACCTCACAATGGAGTGCCAAACTTGCAATTAAGCCAAGTTCACTACCCTCCTCTAAATGGCCGGCCTAAGGGGATTTATTGGGCTATTTGGGCTTTTGTGAATCATTATTCATTAAGTTGTCATACAACTTAAGTCAATGGACTTGACGTTCGAAGCCCATTGGGCCTTAAGGTCCAAAACTATCCCGAGGTCTTTTAACGAACTTATTCGTTTGATTAATAATCATATTAATTAATCTTTGCCATAAATAATTAAACCATTTAATTATTCTTACTCATCTCCGTTGAATCTTCAATCTCTACCTTACACGGTGTACGATCCATTAGGTTCCTTTTAGCGAGGCAGTGGGCGATTCAAACTCTTTCAAATCGATTGTGAATTGAAACTTACTTTCAATTCTCCCGTTAGTGATAATACACTTTTAGGGCTTCCACAAACCATGGTTGACGCCTAGCAGCATGTCATGGTTACCCAAGCTAATCAGAAGAGGTGGAGAACCTATTCAGTTTTAGGATTACAAATGCAATACGGTCTTTCTCTAATACAATACTCTTGACCACATTGTTTGGTTTGATAGTTTATTCATGTCTACTATCCAATGTGAGTCTTGTGCTTATATGATTACCTTGAATGTGATTTGGAACACATTCCTAAATCTCATTCATACTTTGGCCAAAGATTCTTAATCATATCATAGAGTATTCTCCCTCAAACAGTTTGAAGGTTTGAGATCCCTTGTTGCGCATTCACTTGCCTTCATGGCTAAGTGGCTTAACCCCAACGATGCCATGGACACCCTCTTGATGGAGTGACTTTGACATAATCAAAGATTAAGGACCTAACCACAAGACAACTGTGATGCCTCAGGTCAAAAGACTAATTTGCATTATCCCAACCATGAGTTCTCATGTGACATGAATATGAGAACTCTTCGTTGATCGTGTTCAGTGAACTCATTCTCTATTGAGCACCTACGTACTTGTCTTGATGTCACACACACCAATGACTCGAGACTAGTCACTCTCCCTGAGAGAAGACATAGCACGTACTGATCTTAACGGACTGTCAATGCCCAATTGATAATCCTATGATCAGGAACGTTTAGGATGTGTCAACGAAAGAATGGTCTCATGAATCTAACTTCTTTAGATCGCATTCTTCCAATCACATATTCCTTGGACTTATCGTTTAAGCATATAACATTTATATGAGACGGCTCAAACAATAATCTTTGCCCTTTACTTTTAAACTACATTAGTTTGAAATGTCTGTAAAGTATCATCATATGATTGGTTTTAGGGCACATTTCTAACAATTTCCTATTTTTGAAGTGTCTTTAGATTGTGAAACATAGCCATCTTATCTCTTTTAACATACATCTGATGATTACTAAGAGTTACAAAAGCATTAGAAACTGCATTATTACATCTTAGACTACAATTCTCATCTTTCTTTAGGCATACATATGACTGCAAATTTGGTTGATTTCGCTTTTATACGTAACCATTTATCCTACTTAATGAAGAATGATTATGAGAATATTGATATTGACTCATTTTGTGATTTAATCGTATCTGATTGTTAAATTCGTATGCTGCTGTTTTCTTCTCTCTCTGTGTTTTCCTGTTATTTAATATTTTCTTAAATCTTTTAATAATTTTTATTTGCATGGGGTGTGAGATATTGTTCACTCTGTTTAATGAATATTTGCTGAATTTGAGAATTCTTCCATATGGTGGCATATTAGTAGTGAGCATATGAAAACGAAAACATTTTTCTCCTATATTTGTTCTTGAAATAAATTAGCGTTTGCATTCCCTTTTTCTAGCACAACCCACCCACCCACCACCCCCCCCCCGCAACATCCTCCTCCTCCTCCCTCTCTCTACATTTTAATTACTTGATTTTTTGGGATTTCATGATAAAGTTACGAGTTTGTGATCTTAGCACTGGTTTAAACCATTCAGTTCTCTCTCTCTCTCTCTCTCATGTTGTTTTTTCCTCTTATTCATTTGACATAGGTAATTAATTGTATATGGAAGCATCCTAATGCAGTCGAGGTGTATTTAGCTTGTGATCTTCTTGGTCAGGAAGAGATACTGACTAGTGTGTTCCGCACATTTGGATCGAAGATATATGTTGATAAAGTGACCAATCCTGAGTGTTTTGATGCTCTGGCAGTCATAGCTCCTGAAATTGTCTCTCAAGATCCATCTTCACGCTTCCAGCTGCTTGATGGATTTCCAAAACTCTATGAGAGGGCAAAAGCAAAGGTTGCAAAGGCTCAAGTTAACTTAAAGCCTGAACCTCTCATTATCCGTCCTTCAGCACAGTGGTATGCTTGCGAGGGAGAATTCCTAGGTAATGAAAGTCAAAGGATGTTGAAATTTAACGAAGCAGTAAGGGACCAATTTGGTGTTTGGCATGTCTGTTATTCAATGCACTCATCAAGGGAAGAATTAGAGTGCTCTCTGCAGCTTCTACTGCCTAAATGGGTTGTTTCAACGACCCCTAATTGCAGGGCTATGGAGCTGCATTATGTTAAGAAGCACTGTTGTAGCTCTAAAATATCTTGGGACGATCCTGTTTGGAAACTTCTAGACATTAGTGTGGAACCTTCTTCAAGTACAGATTATCAATCAATTAAAGTTGTGGACTCTCCAGCGTCTGAAGAGCCTACTCAACATCGTCCATATTCTCAAGCGCTACCGGTAAAGATATCTGCTTCCCAGAAAGAGTTGTTCGATTTCTCTCCTCCAAGAAAAAGATTGTCTGTCACGTTATTTGGTAAAGCTAGGTTCGGTTTTGAAGAATTGGGTATTCAGCAGGAAGAGAAGAAAACTGTGTACATAAAAGATGAACGAAGACAAGATGTTGACAGTAGAGTAGGAGAAAAGTTGTCGGGCCAGAGGGAAGAGACCAGGGTAGAGAGTGGTATTAGTGAAGTACAATGCGAAAAGCCCGGTGAGGAAGCGTTAGAAGCTCAGAAAACCAATGGCATTGTCATTGGGTCATCACAGTACTTCAATGAAAGATTGAGAAGGTTATACAGGCCAGTGAAGGTGCCTGTGCCGCAGCCGCTTCCTTCATTGGTTGAACTTATGAATGCCCACAAGCGTGCTAAGAGGATATTTGAATACTCATCTTTCAATTAAGACATGTTCAGATTCATTCTCTGGCACTCGGTTTTGACCCATTTGACAACATAGAACGATCTATCTTTCCGGTCTGCTTTGTGGAAAAAATTATTCTGGCGATCCTTGGGTACAATGCAGAGAAACATACTGTTGTTTGTGTGCATTTGATCGGTCGACTAGAGCGATCTTTACAAAAAAATACAGTAAGAGTTGTAGCAGAAGGTGATAAAGAAGATACAATAACGCCGCAGGTGATGATCGATTAATGCATTTGGATCCTGTATCACAGCCTCTCATAATCGAGTTTGTCTGACTGCAAACATAACACAAAAGTCAGTTACAAGATCAAGCTCAAAAGCGCCAAGCAGTGAGATGATACTTTAAACTAGTCTAATTTCCAACTTAGCAAGAAAGAAGCACGCAGGTACCCTGATAAGCATGTCTGTTGGAAGCCATGCTGGCGCAGTTGGGACCCCAACCCATGCTACCTGTAACACAATTATTAATGTCATTTAGTCCTTTTTATTTTTACCTTTTTATAGAATGAATGTTTTTTTAGTTAAACAAAAATAATGAAAAAAAAAAAAAAGTTTCCTTACAAGTGCATACTCTCCTGTCTCAAAAATACGCAAATCCAATACCTGAAAAATTAAGGTTTCATTCAGTCACTCAAAAGACATGGAAATGCATGTACAAGAATCATTTTCACAAATAATGTTAATTATGTACTGTTCATTTGCTTAATCATCTTCCATTGATCATTTGACGGTTTTAGTAACCGCCAGTGTTTAAAATTTATTTGATATGGTCAATATTTATTTGAAAATATCCAAAAAACCAGAGAAATACATGAAAATGATGGCTGAAGTCTAGACTTCACCTTATATTGGATAAACTCTTAAGTTTAGACTAAAATCGACAAATATCGTCGATATTTCTAACACATATGTTAAATATAGGAGAAACTCGTATATTTCGTCCAAACTAATGTTTGACAATTCTTAAAATTTCATTTTAAATTTCCATCATTTTCAACAGAAGTAACCGATTTCAATATCAATATTTGAAATATCCATCGATAATCCACTACTTTACATATTAAATTTTTTACTAATACCGATATTTTAAACACTGTTAACTACTTTGATAAAATTTTCCATTTATTCAACATACATATGAATGACTGAAAAACGATTCCAAATATGATATGTATACGATGAAAAATCATTTTTCAGATTTCAGTGGACAAGAAAGTACATCCTTTAGGCAAGTATTGTGTTGGAATTAAAAGTTTGAAGAGGATTATACCTCACCGCGGTCTTCATAAATATAGTCCAATCCTTTGTAATAAGGTGGATGTCCAACAGAAAGATACTGAAATAAGTTGTGCAAACATCCATCTTATTAGTATATAAATCCAAACAAAAAATAAAGTAATATTCGGTTGATATCGATCGATAATTATTAATCATTGTGTAGTAGGATAATTGAACATCACATGCATATATTATACACCTTAGATTATGCACAATTATATATAAATCTTAACACTAGATTTTGGCAGCTTAATTTCTGGCTTCCGCGATATAAAAACTACATTTACATCTTATTATACATTTTTTAAATGTGTAGTGATTTCTACTCTAATGAGAAAAATGTAAAAACTCCATCTCCTAACGATGCAAAAAGCATGTAATAATATTTATATTTACATTTTGTGCAATGATGGGTATTTTACATAAACTCTCCGACCACTAAAAAATATAAAATATCTATTCTTAAGAATTTTGAATAAATTAGTAATTAAATTTGTACTCACATTAACACTATTAAGATACTTGTCTTTCTCCACCCTCACAATCTGACCCTTCTTCACTGCCCAAAGAAAATAAAAGTAATTTAATAAACAAACAAACAAACAACTGTTGTATAGTTAACTGCATAAAATTCAATTAGCTTAGAGAAATTAAATTTGAAGGACACAGTGCTCACTGGAGTAGACAGGCTTCTTCTTGGGAGGCGGCTTAGAAGCTGCGGTCGCGGTCGAAGGTTGAGCATTGGAAGACGAAGACGCTTTCTCGGTATTATTATTATTGGCTTCTGGTTCTGTAGCTTTTACAGCTTTAATGGACAAAAGACGAGTAGGGTTTCTTCCCAGGGTTCGTGGGACAGGAGACAAGGATGAGAAAGGGTTCTTAGAGAGGGTACCAGTACAACCACTTGCAGAGAAAGCCATGGCAATTGAATCTTGATGGAGAAAAACACAGATAATTAAATCCTCAACAGAGAAAACAAGACGATAAGGAGTCCTTCTGTGGTACATATCACTACATCACGTATTTAAGGGTATACAAGTCTTTTCGTTCCTTTTTTCTAATTTTATGTGAAACAAGAAAGAAAAAAACTTCAAGGAACAAAATAAGGTAAGTGGTGTTATGTTAAAACATAGTTCCAATTTAGTTAATCTAACTTTTTCTTTGATTAAATAATTAAAATTTTACGTTTAACAAACTTTAAGAGGACATCTTGAATTAAATTCGAGGTGCTTTCAAACCAAAACAATTCCAAAGCAAAAAATAATGTCAACATGGACAATCAAAAAGCCATTATTTTGGCGGAGTGATAAAAATGACAGGAAATACTACAAAGCCAAAAGAATTTCGATCACGGCAACTAAAAGTTCAATCATTTCATAACCGATTACGAATAGAAATCCAAGAACTTCAATCGTGTCACATGACAGATTCTACACACATAATCATCAATAAGACTAGTCATGGAACACTTTTCAGATACGTCTAAGAATAGGAATTGTAATACACATAAAGACCAACGAGGCACCAATTTCATCAGTGTAGATAACACAACCAACATCATGACAAGAACAATTCCACAAGCCCAAAAAGAAAAATCTACCCACCAAAGAGCCGAGACCCATTTAGGGCAATCGGGTAGACCGACTCGATTTCCTAACCCAGATGACTCGTCAGTGCAACATATCTAGAGTTGGCGACTATGGGATTTTTCGTTCACCTACTGTACATCTCTTCCTCCTTGTCACCAAAATCCAGTTGTGAAGTAAAAAATAATCAAGAAAATTATAGAGGTGACACGCGAACTTTTGGGTGAAAATGACAAAATTACACTTGAGGCACACTGGGGTTCACACACATATGCATCGGATAATAAAGGCTCAACCAATGAGGAGTCAAAGGTGATCAAAATGATATTTATTCAAATCCCTCTCGTCACTCCTCATCAAATCCTTATTCAAAAGGTAACTTCCAAATTTCATATTTAATTTAGGATTAATTGCTATGTTAATTGTAAAATATTATTTCACTTAATATCTTGCAATTATTCACCCAATTACACTATATATGGCCTACCACTATTCTCCAAATAGGATCACCCACTCCCTTATAAATAGCCCTATTATCCCACTAAAAAGTTAAGTCGTTTGCTACCCACAAACTCTTAAACATTTTCTTTTGAGAATTTTAACTTTTGAGAATTTAACATTGGCATTGGAGAATTTTAACTGTGGCGGGATCCTAGCTACCCAACTCCATCTATGCGGCCTATGTCAAAGAAGTACACAAATTTGTTGATAATTAAATCCAAGTCAAAGACGAACCGCATTTAGGGAACACTGAGTGGGGGCACACTTCATGGAGCAAAGCATTTATTGGAAGAACGCTGTATGGGAAAAGTAAACCCCAACACTAAGTAGTATGGGTGAAACTTGATAGCTCTCTGAGCCCCACTACATGGCTCACTAATGCTCCCCTCCTTGATGCGCTTCACATGCACCCTAGATGGAATGACATGCCTATATGTTATAAGTAAATCTCTGAACGAATCATCAAAGTTAATTTTGAAGTGAGTAGCTTTGAAGTAGCCCACCTTACCTAAAGACCTCCCTTGATGATACAACGGCAGCACACCATCATCACCCTTGTGACTTGAAGAAGACATGCTTGAAGAAATTCTCCAAAGGCGCATCAGGCCCCACGACCTAAGACTGCAGGAGCTCAGCAGCCACGCCAGGCCCCACAGCCTGGTCTATATCTCTCTTGGCCCATAGGCCTCATAGCCCAATCCAGCTAGAAAGGGGACTAGTGGCCCCATGCCTCCCTCTCTCACTTTCTCATCTATCATATGGGCCAAGCCCAGTGGCCCGCGAGCCCAGCTAAGGAAGGAGGCACGAACTTCCTTTTCTCCAACACAGCCTCTGAAGGAAATATTTGTGAAAATTAGTTCATTTGAAGAACATCTAGGCATACAATTAACAATTAAAAGGCGGAATCATGCTTGTATGCACTTAAATACAAAACTTTAACCATAAAATTCAAAGCCTAGTAGTTGTGCTGAAGCAAGACTCAACTCAAAACAAAGTGAGTTGAGAAACTTTATACCCTTGAAGCACCTCTTTGCTTAGCAAAGGATATTCACCCATGTGAAGGCCTTCTTTCCTTAGTCTCCTTGCTCCGTGGCTCCATGGATTTGGATGGAGGAACTTTGCTTCTTGGCTTCATGTCTTCTTGGATATGGATGGGAGAATTGGGTTCTCCAAAAGTCACCACAGTTGGAAACCTCTAAGTTTTGACACCAAGGATCGTTGAGAAAGAAGATGAGTGACCATGGAAAAATTAGATGCTAGTAAATTTTCCCATGGTGGCCGGCTGTTCTAGAGAGAAAAGAGAGAAAGTTGTTCTCACTTTTCATCCAAGTAAACCCTAATGAAGAAAAGGCTATAAAGTCACATTTATACCTACCTAATTGCCCATTATGTTTTAGTTATCACACAACTTAAACCTTATGCGCCTTGTGGACCAAAACCCTTTTGTGTCCCGAAACCCAAAACTAACTTAAGGCCTAAAACGAACCTTTATTCTAGATTAATTAACTTTTAATTAATCCTTGCCATATACAATTAAACTATTTAATTGTCCTTACTCATCTTTATTATATCCTTCAATCATTACCTTACATGGTGTGCAATCCATTAGGTTCCTTTTAGCGAGGCAACGGGCGATTAGAACTCTTCAAATCAATTGTGAATTGAAACTTACTTTCAATTCTCCCTTTAGAGATTATACATCTTTAGGGCTTCCACAAACCATGAGTGACACCTAGCAGTATGTCATGGCTACCCAAGCTAATCAGAAGAGGTTGGAGAACCTATTCAGTTTGGGATTAC